TGGATGGATGGATGGATGGATGGATGGGTGGATGGTGGATGATGGATGGATGGACAGAGGGATGATGGATGGATGGTCGGATGTTGAACGGATGGGTGGGTAGATGGATGGGTAGATGGGTGGATGGAAGATGATGGAGGATGGAGGGATGGGTGGGTGGCTGTCTTCAGGCTGCAGGCTGGGGAATCCTGCAAGTTATGGAAGGAAGTGGGGAACTAGTCCCTTCTACTCTCCAGTTTCCTGGAACTGACCTGGGGGATTCCTCCTTTTGTCCCCACCTGACTCCAACACAATGAGAGGCAGGCACAGGTGGCCCTTCACAGCACCCTGTACTTATTTAACCAAAAAGGGACTTGTTACAAGAACACTGTGGTTCCCACAGAATATCAAGGAGGGCTGGAGGACCAGGCAGGAGGGTTCTGCAGCCAGAAATGACACCCAAAACCACTCCACAGAATGGTCTGGTGGGACCTACCTGTGGGTGGCTGCCATACAGCCCGCTGGGGAGGGAGTCCAGACTCTCGTGTTATCCCTTGCCTAGGGTTGCCAGATGAAACAGAGGTGAGCCAGTCCACTTTGAACTGCACAAAAACAATAGTATTTTAGTAAGGGTATGTTCCATACAATATTTTAATATTATTATTATTATTCTACTTTGTCTAAATCTGGCACCCCTGCCTGCTATCCCTGAAGTCCCACTGGTCCCCTGAGAAAAGTCTCTGGACACCACCTTCCTTGCACCAGGGGCTCCCAATTGGAAGTTATAGAAACACGTCCCATGCATGCACCCTAGCTGCAAGGGATTCTGGGAAAGCAAGTGTCTCCAAGTTTCTACAGCACGAGGTGGGCTCAGCCTCCTGGGGTTGGGGAGCCCCTCAGACCACGGCCAGCAGCTGGGTTTAGGCTTCTGCTCTCCTATTATCTGCAGAGGCTGGGCAGGGTGAAGAACCAGATTCTCCCCAAATCTGTTGTGTGGTCCATGAGATGTGGCTTTTGAGATCCGAGCATCATTTTCCTCAACCTATTTTCTCCACCAGAGAGTTTCACGTATCTATTTAGATACAGTCTCCACCAAAAGGAAGTAGGGCTCCTTGGAGAAATGACTGATTCCAAGACTAGGGGAAGGAAAGTACAAGGCGAGCCAGGAGCACCTTGTGCCAGGAAGCTGAGCCACAACTGATGGGCTGTGTGAAAAGGACACGAGCCAGTTGGAAGGGGTTCCCACCGCTCAAATCTGGGATGATTTGAGCATCAAAAAAAAACCAACAACATTGTAATGCACTGCATAAAATAAGAATTATTCAGTCCACAACAATATATGCCTGTGTGTATATATATTGTATATAACATGTATATTCCAAGTAATACACTTGGAATATACGTTTATAAAATACAATGTGTGTGTGAATAAATAAACGAATACGGGAGAAGGGAAACCTCTTCCTTAGAGGAAAGTGCCAACCGATAAATGTGGAAGGTGTAGCATAATTAGAGCAGTTACCATTTGACAGCCGTCATAAAATACTTGTTTCAGGGAAGAGGCATCACTAGAGGGTAAAACCGGTGAGTGAAGGTTTTCTGGGGATAGGATATTTACATAGCTCCAATATATCTCTCTGCAAGATCATTATCTATTACCAAACAATATAGGAACTTCACAGCGGAAAAATCTGGCAGGCACCACCTTAATCAAGATCTCAAAACTGACATCAGAGCCCACAGCAAATAGACACATGCTCTTGGTATGAGGCACTGAGAAGTTTACAATGTCACTTCTGTGAGATTCCTTCCAAAAACGTGTCATCTGAATCTCATAAGGAAGAAACACAAGACAAACTTGATTTGAGGAACGTTCCACAAAACATCTGGTCAGTAATCTCTTAAAAAATGTCAACATCATAAAAGAAGAACATAAGTGAGGAGTTGTCCAGATTCAAGGACACGAAAACTGAACGTGATTCATTAGCTGAGAGTTTCTTTTGCGATAACGGACATTCCTGGGACAATCGGCAAAATCTGAATAAGGTCCATAGATTAGATCCCATAATGCATCCATGTCAACTTCCCCGATGCAGACAATTATACCAGGTGTTGTAAGAAAACGTCTCCTTCCTCAGAAGACAGTGTCCTTGCTCTTAGGAAATACTGAAGCATTTAGAGATAAAGTGGGTCTCATGTCTGCAACTCCCTCGTAAATAGAAAAGAAAAAAGGCAAAGAAGATGATCACGGAAATGCAGTAAGTGTTCACATCTGGGGAAGCTGCATGAAGGGCAGAGGGGAATTCTTTGGAGTATTTGTGTGGCTTTTCTGCAAGCCTGAAATGACATAAAAAAAAAAAATTTAAAAAACCTGTCTAGTAAATCAAAAGCTAAATAAAATGTACCTCTTTGTTCCTCCTGTTCTGCTGTGGTCTCCCTTCCCTGAGAACAGCAGGGGCTGCTGCCTGAAGGCCCAGGGCAGGGTTTTAGATGGAAAAAAAATGCCAGGAACGCACAACATATCTGTTAAGATAATGGTATCCAACTAACGTGTATACAGCATTTATTATGTACCAGGCTTCCAAATGCTTGAAAAAAACTGTACTAACTTCTTGGAATCTCGTAACAACCATACAAAGTTGCTGCTATTACAGCACTATTCACAATAGCCAAGACACGGAAACAACCTAAACGTAAACAGATGAATGGATACAGGTGCGGTACATGTACACAATGGAATACTACTCAGCCATAAAAAAACATAAGGCCATTTGCGGCAACACGGGTGGACCTAGACGTTATCATATAAGTGAAGTCAGACAGACAGAGACAAATACCATATGATATCACTTATATGCGGAATCTAAAATATGACCCAAACGAACTGATCTACGAAACAGAAACAGACTCACAGACATAGACGACAGACTCGTGGTTGCCGAGGGGGAGGGGGAGGGGGAGTGGGGGAGGGATGGAGTGGGAGTTTGGGATTAGCAGATGCAAACCGTTATATAGAGAATGCAGAAACAACAAGGTCCTACTGTAGAGCACAGGGAAATATATTCCATATCCTATGATAAACCATAATGGAAAAGAAGATGAAAATATATATATATGTGTGTAACTGAGTCACTTTGCTGTACAGCAGACGTTAACACAACATTGTAAATCAACTAGACTTCAATAAAATAAATTTTAAAAAAAACAAAGTAGCTGCTATTACTGCTCCCATTTTATATATGAGGACACTGATGCACAGAGAGGTTGAGTAACCCGTCCAAGGTTTCACAGAGTATAAGTAGTAGAGCTGGGATTTGAACCCAGGCCCACTGGCTCTAGATTCTTTCCCCACCCCTCAAAAGTGTCATATTGGGGAGATTTAAAGGTTCAAACCATGAGGGGCTGAAAAGGAAAATGGGACAGGGCACAGACTAGAGACTGGAGCCACATCACTCACTAATTCCCAGAGTGCTGCCCCAACAGTGAACTACAGAGGGGATGAGGCAAAGACCCCAAAGAGTGAATGGTGGCAAATCCAAGTGTCCAGGGAGATAAGCTATCACGTGGACAACCAACTACCACTGCTCAGCCTGCAGGACTGGTGTCTACCTGTTAGATTGGGTTGAACAGTATCCCTCCCAAATTCATGCCTCCCTGGAACCTCAGAACGTGACCTTGTTTTGAATTGGGACCTTTGCAGATGTAATTAGTTAAGGATCTTGAAATGGCCATGTAAGCTGGGGCAGGGTGATTGGAGCGATGCGGTCATAAGCCAAGGGATGCCTGGGGCCCCCAGAAGCTGGAAGAGGCAGGAGGGACACTCCCCTGAAATCTTCAGAGAGAGCATGGCCCTGCCCACACCTTGATTTCAGACTTCTGGCTTCCAGGACTGTGAGAGAATACATTTCTGTTGTTTAAGTCACGGGACCTGTGGTCACCTGTTACAGCAGCTCTAAGAAACTACACCTGTGGAAGTTCCCAAGTGAGCTGCACCTTGACTACCCAAGGTCCCTTCTCCCATTCTTCTCCATAGGACCCGCTTTACAGTTGGATTTGCAATGTGCTCAGGAAAAAATATGCATCTCTCCCAACTTCCTTGCAGCTAGGAATGGCTGTGGGACCCAATTCTGACCAACAAGTTGTCAGTGGAAATTTACCGGCTGCGACCTCTGGGAAAGCTATGCTTCCGTTGTTTTTCTGGGTGAGTTAGACTTGGGTTCTACTCTCCCAGCGATGGCAGAGTAGCTACAATCAGACCAACCATTCTATACGTGGCAACCATAAACTCCAGACACAATATAAAATACAAGTCTCTGATGGTTATTGGGAGAAGCAAAGGCAGGCAGAAACTGCATGGGAGTCAACACTTGGAGGAAGGGGACTGCGCTGTGTGAGTCTCCAGTGGTTTTCAACTTTTTGCCTGAACACAGCCCTAGTCAGCATCCTATAGGAGTGGCTAAACGTCTAAAAGAAGCCTCAAATCTTGAAGAACCAGGGGATGCAGCAGCTGGAACGTGAGAAGGAAACCTCCAGAAAGGAGAGAGTTGTAGAAGAGGAATGCCAAATTCTGGGTACAAGCTCTGCCCAAGTCTCTGGCTGACCCCTGAACCATGCATGCACACAGCAGACCCCCAGCAGCTCAGCAAAGGCCAACAGAACCCAGAGTGATTTTGGTTACAGGCCACTGCAGTGGAGAAGTGTCGGAGTCCAGACAAGTTAATTCCCTGCTCAAACAAAATGTTAACAATCTAGAATCTCCAGGATGCCTTACTGACAATGTCCAAGATACCATCTAAAATTACTAGACATACAAAGAAATAAACAAACCAAAAAATGTGTCCATCCTCAAGAGAAGAGGTCAGCACACTATGGCCCAAGGGACGGCTGTCTGCTTTTTCTTTCTTTTTTTTTTTGGTTTACTTTTAAAAATGAAGTTTTACTGGAACACAGTCATGTTCATCCACTTACATATCGCCTATGGCTGCTCTCAGACTACAACCACAAAGTTAAATCGTGACAGAGATGCTACTGCTCACAACCCTAAAATATTTATCAATTGGATCTTTTAAGAAAAAGTATGCCAACCCCCCTGTTCAAGAGAAAAGACAGTGAATGGTGACTGGTCCAGATACACGGATTAGCTGATCTACATCTATGTTGAAGTCATAAAGAAAAATATATTCGAAATAAATGAAAAAATGAGAAATTTCACCAAGAATTAGAAAATTAGGAAAAGAACCAACTGGACATTCTAGAATTGAAAAATACAATATCTGTAATAAAAGGGGGCAAAATCAGCTGCCATATGGCTTCTGCCCTTTGAAATGTCTCTTCCTTTCCGGAATGTCTATGACTTGCTGGAGGTGAACCAGTCATCTTTCTTTTTTTTTAAATTAACTGATTTATTTATTTATTTTTGGCTGCGTTGGGTCTTTGTTGATGCGCGTGGGCTTTCTCTAGTTGTGGCAAGCGGGGGCTACTCTTTGTTGCATGCGTGGCCGCCTCATTGCGGTGGCTTCTCTTGTTGCAGAACACAGGCTCTAGGTGCACCGGCTTCAGGAGTTGTGGCACGCAGGCTCCGTAGTTGTGGCTCATGGGCTTA